TTGAAATGTATTGTGGTGAAATGGGTCATTTCTGATGAGTGTTGATCTTTAATTGGTTCGGGACTCAACCAAGGTCCTTAAAACTTGTTCATTTCAGGGGGACAATCTGCAATGTATGCTTGGGCGTCGCGAAGGGGGGACAAGGGGGGGGGCGCTTCCCCCCCCCCCCCCCCCCGAAAAGAAAAAAAAAAAAAAAGGAAGAAGAAAAAATAGAAAAAAGAAATGAAAAAGCGGTGCGAAGTCATATTGGTGTAAATTCAAGGGGGGGGGGGAATGTCCCTGCCCCTTCTCATATAACTCATAAATCGAAAATATGTTGAAAAATACAGGAATTTTTTGGGAAAAATATGTTTTGTCCCCCTCTAGAAAAAATCCTGGCGACACCCATGAATGTATGGTAAAATAGTTCATTTCTGATAGTTACACTTATGTGGGTTGATCGTTATCGTTATCATTTCTACAGTGCTCAACAAAGGGCTAACGTAATTATGGCCAACGCGCTGTAAAACCTTATAAAGGCTTTTTTTGGCATTTAATTATGCAAATAGCCTATCCATGACTGTACCAAACAAACAGGAAAGGAACAGGAACAAAGAACAGGAACAAAGGAACAAACAGCCGGTTGAAGTTTTTTAGCTGCTTGTATAACTGAAATTCAAATTTTCATAAAAACAAGTCAGTTCTTTTAAATACTGTAAAAACATAAGCGTTTATGAGTTCAACACTATGTTTACTGTTCCTAATCCGAACCGTCCATGAAGCGTTTATAACTTTAACATTACGGTTTTCCTAAAACAGAACCGTTCACGAAACTGTTGAAAAAAAAGCGTTTATAATGTGTTCGAAAGTTAAACACTGGTGGGTTTTTTTTACAGTGAAGCCTCTTGCGACTTATCGGAGATGAAACATATGAAATCGTCAAGAGTTTTAGTCATTGCAGTGATGGAGTACAATTTGAAGTCGAAGATCAATACAAATAAATGATCTCAGGATCATCCGACTCAGAACAGGCTTCGTGTTTGAGCTCCCGCGAATGAAATTTAGTCTATAACTACAGCTAAAACTAACGAAAGGATCTTTGAAAACGGAAACGGAAAGCAGTTCAAAACATGTGATGTTAACAAAATAATACAGTAATTATTTTGAAATGTTTAAATTTAGAAACTGTGTAATGCTGACATTGTGTTTAATGCAGCTGAGTGGGGAAAGAAAACGTGCCGATGACGGAGTGCAAACATCGCCGCAAGATTACTCGAAATCCAGTTGTACCGAATTGCTTTTCTTCTATTTCGATTCAAACGAGGCTGTCAATGTAAAGAAATGTTATAGATATGTCCGGTATCAGGTTGCAGTTCCCAAGACAGTAAACCTTGAGGGATCTTTGGACTAAAAAATGTGGTTTGGGGCTTAATATTTAACACTCATTTCATATAAATGCGATGATCAATTTGTAGGTTCAATTACAAGGGGCTAAATTTCATTTCAATTGCATGCATTGTAAGTCATGAATGTGGCATTCTAAAAATTGTATTTTTTTCCCCCGACAAATTCGTCTCATATGGAGATTGCCGATGTTCTGAAAAAGCAAATTCGATTGTTGTTTTCTACTCGATTTTATTTGTGGCAAGCTTAAATGTTACGAATTGAAATGTATTCAATCTTTTTGGCTGTATCTGAATGTTTCAGCTTATTCTGAAATATTTCTACTGTTCTTTTCCTCATCCTAAGAGGCTTATCTAAAATTATGAATGAATTTTTCAATTCATATGTATTAATACACAGTTGAACACAAATCCTTATTAAACCATACTTAAATATATAAGCTTGTTCTCTTATTCATGCTCAAAAGAGCACACAAAAACGCTCATAAAGAGCACAATACAAATGCTTATAAGAGCAAGATACAAATGCTCATAAGAGCACAATATAAGGGACTCAAATTCAGTACCGACAAATGCAGTACTGTATGGCAAGATGTTACAAACAATGAAAGCCACTGGGATACCTGATGGGAAAAGCGCCCAAAAAGCTCACCATGGAGCAAAAGACTAACCAAAATCAGTCAAAAAGTGTGCGTAAAAGCTCCACCGGAGCACAAAGCCACAACGGGCTGTAATAGTAAGGAGTTTTGCATATCAACCTGGAACCAGTTTATAAAAAACTGTAAGGGCTCCCCGGGTTCTGCAATATGTTTTGTTTTTGTCTGAGAAACCAACGCACGACATAAGCTGGTGATTTTATTGCAGAGTGACCAGAAAAGGTTTATTGCTTACTCCTACAAATGGAAGAACTGAAAAGGGGCCTCACTGTAGGCCTCAAATGAATAAACATAAAAAAACGCTGAACAAGCACCTCTCGCCATGCTATATTTAGTTCACGTGTACCATGAAAACATGCATAATCTTACACTCTAAAATAACCAATATCGATTTGAATGAAGAAAAGCAGAGTAGATTTGAAAGTACACGTACCTAATAAATTAGATCTTAATATGTAAATAGAGTCATAAGTATTCAGTACATTTCAATCCGTTACGTTTCAGCTTGCCACAAACAAAATTTAATGAAAGGAGCATTAAAACCAATGATCAAATAAACAGCAACAAACAAAATTGTGTTTTCTATAGACCGTGCTTGTGCCCTTTGGCGTCATACCGACAGACAACCGCTGAACATCTCAAACATTTACACATCTTTTGCATGTTAATGATTGGACCACATAAAATGGTATATGTCTACACTTTTAAACCATTCATATTTCAAGAGATAATATACAGTGCAGAAGAGAACTGTTTGCTGAAAGATGGCACCACGTGATGGTGCTTTCCATCTGGGAACAAAGCCCAAATAGTACATTTCTAAAACCTTTTACAGACTCGTTTTAATCGAAAAAGAAGAAAAGTAATTCCATAAATATAACACTAGAATACAAGTAATCTTGCAGCGACTTTTGCAGTCCTTCACCAAAAACAAAGAAAAATTGGGCAAAAATGGTGACTATTCAAAGCGGTTTTTTCCTGCGCCGTTGACAGCCATACTGGATTTCAAGCTAAAGTTGGTCACATGACCAAAAGTTAGGTTTCTATGACCATGAAATAAATAAGTTTGGGCAAATATACAATATAACATGTTTTGACCGCCAAATGTGCAGATTGCCAATTTCATATAAAGAAGACCCGATTACCAATGTTTTGAAATGGGTTGCAAAGGCAACCATGGACATACCACGGAATCGTTTTTATTTCTTTACCGTAATGCTCCTCATAAAATAGGAAAAGTCACCAAATTTTTACGACGGTCAGCCGAAGCTATCCTAACCACACTGGTGAAGATTAATCTCTTTTGCAAAATGAGAAGGAAACGCACAGCATTGTGGGACTTCCGTCGTGATCAATACGCCAAAGAGTCTACCACGGGTGGCCATCAGCTTAACAATTATTTCCAATTAGTGCTAAAAGATATAAGAAGTAAGTAACCCCATTGACAAGGCGGTTGTTACGAAGGAGCAGCAGGGCTTCATGTGAAACAGGAGACTGGAAACTGAATGAAATGAATGGAAACTGACTTCGCGTAATTTGTTTTTCGTTCATTAGTGTTTCTATCAAACGCACGAACAACACCACAAATTTGTAATGAAATAATGACTATTTTTTTGTCGAGTTTTCAGAATAACATTTAATTGAATTTCGCTCTGAAGGATGTGAAGATTAAACCAAGATACAAGGAAAAGGACCCTTACGTATAACATAATTTACCAGACAGTTCGCTGGTTATTAACTCAGTCAACAGTAAGATCGTATATATCGAACATTCTTATGTAGCGCGTGTTTTAAAGGTCTCCATTACAAACATTAAAAAAATAAACTGCCAACATAGTGAAATATCATACTTGATTGTAGCGAATAATAGGATCAAGCATCCTGCGAAATCATCGCGCCTAATATGCTGTCATTTTCGAGAAAAGACGAATAACCATCATTTAGTTTGGTCCTAACCATCGCGAGAAAAAAAACCCAATGAAACGGCTTTTGTCTTCAAAAACATGTACTGCCCTCCAATTGACCAAATGTTGGTTGAGTTTGCAATCGGTTACAAATCAGTGATTAAGTTGAGAATCATATCACAAGAGGGCGCAAATCAAAACGTATTAATGAACATTTTGGAAGGGAGGGCTTTCAACGGAAACCTTGCTTTGCGTCGAGAAAAATGAAGATGAATTTTCACAGTTTGCTCAAAAAGTGTATCATCTACTGATCTGACATTGGGGAACCGCCAACATAGGGAACTGCCAACATAGGGCTGGATACTCAGTTGGTAGAGCACCTTTGAAAATTATAAGAACGAACCTAGTCAGTTTCCCTTTGTGATTTATTTGAAGAGCTGACATTTCGACAGGTTGGCTAATTTCTGAGAGGCTGAGAACAAGAAAGCTGAGATTTGCAGGACACTGTGCAAGGAGAAAGGATGAAGCTGCATCCAAGGTTCTAGTATGGCAACCCATACGTGGAAAGAGATCAAGAGGACAGCCACCTAAAGACTACATCAAACTCCTAGTAGAGGATACAGGCTTAAGTGGGCAAGACATCAAGACATGTATGATGGATAGACTGATAGAGTGGTTTGGAGAGCTATGGAGTCTGACCTTCAGAGTCGCCATAATCAAGCAAGTAAGCAAGTTTTCAATAACCGGATGTATTGTATTGTTCTTCCTGGAATCAGCAGAAATAAAAAAAAAATCTTCAAATGGTGTTCATCACCTTTGACATTACCTTCAATCTTTTGAAAAAAAAAATTTTAAGCCGCCAGATTTCTTTCCGAACAGATCAGGTTGATATTTTCAATACATGTACCAAACAACTCCAACCACATTTTAAAACGCTGCTAATGGTGCTTTCTGCAATTGGCGTTCGTTGGCGTGAAACGCACACCACTTGCTAAACCGCAAATTGTGCACTGCAGGCCGAGTAATTAGCCCTCTTTTGTTGACTACTCGCGTGTGATCGTACCGCTGTTAAGCGATGCGGCCAACCATCAAGGGTATCAAAGATGTCTCGCGTACCTGTTATGTTGCCGTCAACGGTTTCTTTTTATTGTCTAAGTACCGATCGTTCAAGAATGTTCAGTATAAAGTCTGGCCAGTTCGTCAGGTAGTCATCATTTGGGATTTCATCCATCAACCAGTCAACACCAGTTTCGTTCTGCAGTATATACCTCAAGATGTCTACCTTCAGTTCTCTCTTCTTTCAAGAAAACAAGCCAGTCTTCGAGATGCCTGTCACAGAGCCAAGAGAGTTTGATCGCTTCCATGACTACCTCGGCCTAGCCCAGCTCATCACCAAGACCAGCGTAGCTTCTCCAAGGCCTGCCTCCGTCACGGAGTCATCCGAAGATCAGTTCATCAGACTCCAGACGTCAGCCATGGAGCCGGACCAGCAGACCAGCATCATCGACAGCGGGTCAACCAACGGGTTTCGTCCCTTCACCATGGACGAGCTGTCCCGTGAGACCGGTCCATCTCGACGTGGCAATCGGTGGATGGTTCTCAAGCCAACTTGTTGTGTCTTCTGCAAGAACAACGGCGAGAGCGAAGCCGTCTACACCTCACACATCCTCAAGAACAGCCTTGACAAGGTGGTCTGTCCTAGGCTACGGGCTTACATCTGTCCACTGTGTGGAACCAGCGGAGATGAGGCACATACCATCAAGTACTGTCCAACCAATCTGGGCAGCTTGCAGCCAGCTCCGTCCAAGTCAAGACCCAGCAATCTCGGCATGTTCATCAGCAGCAGACTCCTGCCGTCAGCAGGGAACCGAGTTTCCGTATGACCATCGCAAGGAGAACCTCTAAAAGCAAACAGAAACGGCTCTTTTCAGAGCCAACACACATTCCAAAAAGAGATATAGTTGCGTCGATTTTCAAGCTTTAAATTGTTTTAAAATGAAAAATAGTTTTCTTTTCTAAATGATATTTTTCTTTAGCAATACAAAAGTAAGGGCCTATTCACTTTGAGTGAGACATAGACCTAAATAATGGCCCATGTTAAGTTATTGGTTTTGGAACTATTATGCAAGACAATAATTTCTGTTCTTGCTTGGTAGGCTAGTTCCCGCTTCACAATCGGTATCGATAGTATGTGGACCGGGAGCCAGTCTGCTAGCAAAGCGGATCCTGTTGTGTCCAAAAACAAAAGAATTTTTTTTCAGAGTTTGCAGATGTCGAAAAATTATTGAATTTTTGGGGTTGGAATAACAGTTTTTAAAATGTATTCATAGAAAAATAAACATCGAATTTGTTCGGGGCGGGGCAGAGCCTCGTGCGTACAGCAGTCTGTTTGTAATTTTATCGCTTTCCGATTTCCACAGACATTATTCAAGCTCTTGTTCTATACCAGACGCGTATATTATAGTCTACTATCGAACGACCGATTCTAGAAAAGAATCTGTATTCACTTACTTCGATCTATCATGCAGTGAATCCTGCACGCGACCACGTGCTCGAATGCACTTACCGTGTAGTAGCGCCTCCAAGGACGCCCCAATAATTCACTCACAAAAACGATCTATTTTGTGAAAACGCTTTTGTTTGTTTCAATTCATTGAAAGGACCATCAAAAGTATTTTCTTTAATCCGTCGTCGGTAAAAGAAATCTCTCAGTTCAACACGACCTTTTTGGGGGCCGAATTTATAAACATGACCGAAAGTCAAAATGGTTCGAGTATTTTCGCTGTATCCAGTCGGGTGCCTGGCTCAACGAGTGGGCCATAACGTTGTTCGTAACGGGCCCAGCGCGGCGTGATGACAGCCTCTGCGTGTGGTCAACCGTTGAGCAATCATCGCGCTGCAGCTAACAAGCTCTGTTAGGCCGTCAGCTGGACTGGAAAATTCGTTCGTTTCGTTCCAGCAATCGCGGGTCTAAAAAATTTTAACAGTTGTACCGAAATACACTACCAAAGAATGATACTACAAAAGTTCTCCACATTTCGTCCAGCAGTTTTTTGATAATTTGACTCGAAAAAGCGAACTATTTGTCCATTGTGGACGATCAAAAACGTACCGCGCCTACGTTAAAAAAATCCGCCGCGTATGACGCACGTACCACGTGACGTGAACTGTCCAATTAGACACCAGATATGAGGTCGCAGGTCATGACATTTAATAAACATGGCGGCGTCCATTGGCAAAAGTGCGTCAACGTAAACATCGACCGGTGCAAAAAAGAAGTGTTTGCACTCATAATCTGTCACGTTTGAGGGGGGAAATGCGAAGGATCTGATGTCCGGTGATAGTAAGTTCATTTCCTGTGCCAAAGAGTGGCTGAATTTCACAATGGCATCGCCGAATATACCCACGATGTGTGGGCAGTGGATCTGCTATGTCTGTATCGTACTGTACAGTACTACTACTATAGGTTTTCCCGGACAATTTCGGAAAATGTGTACACGAATTTGTAAAAGAAGCATTCGTTTTCGTGCGAAATAGAATGAACCTTCCAAATCTCTGTTTCTATTTAACAAATGATAATTCTTTTTCCGTGAAGGTGCATTCAGTCGTAAAAAATCAGCGTACGATTTCCCGAATGTGCACTGCATTTAGTGTATTGACATTTCATTTTAGCGCGAAATCGAAGGCACATCCGCAATCCTATTTTCCTTTTAATTTGTCATCAATCTTTTTCGCGAAATGTGCAGCCGATTTCCCTCGCAGTGTTATTTAACGTATGCCTGGTCAAGCATTGGAATTCATTTATGTGTTAAAGTAACATTTGAGGAAAGCTTGATTGAATGATTGAATTTTTGAATATTCATGATGATTGAGCTAAAACCAAGAGGTGTAGTCTTTTGAAACATACCAACTATTGTAATAAATCCTATATAAAAACCTAACCTTAAGAAAATCTTTTTCTGCTCAGCATTTGCCACAATCGCATCATATAGCCAAGAGTCTCAGTTCACATAGTCCTTAAATATCCAATAATGGCTGCAAGAGGGAGATACCGACGAATCTCGGACGTTGACCGAAATCGCCTCATCGATGCCTTTGAGGCTGACGACGCTGACTATCTGCAGGTAGCAGATACGCTGGGCATCAAGCACTCAACGGCCAGATCAATCGTTGGCGTATATCTTCGGGATGGTCGTCGTAACAAGCTGCCGAAAGGAGGACCCATAAACCAAAAGGTTGACGACGACATGAGAGATGCCCTTCAAGGATATCTAGATGACAACCCCCTTCTAACTTTGCGTGAACTCAATACTCAACTGCGAGCTGATCTTCCCGATAAGCCCTTCATTACCACTAGTACCATCGCTAGAACTCTAGATGGTATGCTTTTAACTCTTAAATTAGCGGAAGATGTTCCAGAACAGCCTATGAGCCACGCATATTAGATGCACGAGTCATATTTGGAAATTGGTTTCTTCAGGTTGGTGTCCTTGGCCACACTGTGTACATTGACGAGACTGGGTATAACTTATGGACCCGTCGGTCTTATGGTCGCGCTCCTCGTGGAGAGCCAGCAAGGCGTGTCGTCCATGGCCAGAGAGGCAAGCAAGTCAACATCACGTTTGCCATTTCTGGTGAAGTTGGACAGAATATCATCAGAGACTGTGACGAGAGCGACTTTTGAGGATTTCTTAGCGACGACTGTACAAGAATGCGGTATGTTATTCCCGGCAGGCGAACGCATATATCTGATATATGACAACGCTCGTCCTCATATCCGAGCCCAACTACCCCCTGATGCCGGCAATTTCACCATCAAGTTGCTGCCCCCATACTCGCCATTCTTAAATCTTACGGAAATGGCGCACTCAGCTTTCAAGGCGGGAGTGAAGCGCACGCTGGGGCTTCCTGAATGGCAGGACAGATTTGGAGACCAAGACGCAAGAGTCCAAGCTGGTGTGAACCTGCAAGTCTGGAGATCCCTCCGTCTCCAGGAGGTGGCTGCACTCAACATTGGAGAGGTGACACCTGCGAAATGCACCGCCTGGTACAACCATTCTCAGACATATCTCCCTCGATGTCTTGGTGGACAGGTCATTGAAGGATAGACAATCAAACTGATAAGACGAGAGAGAACATTAAGAAATACATAAAGAAATTAAAATACAACTAGACAATGAACCAACAAAAAGTCCCCATGCAGATCCTATGTAACATGGCACGTGATGTGTCCCTTTACCGTTTCAATAATGCTACATGATTATTTTTATTGATTTCATATTGGTCATATTTATATCATTTTCACATTTCATTTGCCTACATTTCACATATGCCTTTGTGTATATAAGAACAAACACATTAATGATCAATAGGGCATACATTGATTAATTAATGAATCAAAGTTGTATCATGATTTGTATAGGCCTGTAAAATTTATTTAAATTGAATGCAGAAAATGCGAATTTAAATTGTAACAAATGAAAAAGAATGTTCAATTGAGCCCATGTCACAATAGACAATCGATTTTCTGCGAATTGGATTGCACATTCGTAATAATCGGCAACTCATACGTCAAACCGAAAACCTAATCACGTATTTGTAATCCCTTAAATGAAACGCTATGCACATTCATTCATTTGATTGATGCAAAATGAAATTGAATGCTAGTTATTACGAAAATGAAGCCAGGATGTACGTCGTTCTCAAACTCGGCGCCAAATTGAATTTATGTTTTACAAATTCAAACGCACATTTTCCGAAATTGTCCGGGTAAACCTATACTACATCATGCACTACCGGCGCATGTAAACAAGGCAGTCCGGCCGGCCGATCTCACCCGTGGCGGTTTTTATAGATAGTAAACGTCTCGGTGCTGCAAGGAAAGGCAAACCAGACAATTCAGCTGAGACCCAGATTTCTTCACCGAAAAGCTCCGGGCAAAGTTCAAGTTTCTTTTAATTGCCTATCTACATAACTGTGTCATGCTGCACATAAACTCAACCAGGATTTTGATTTCGATGAAAACCTCAATTCAAGGACAAGCTGCAACAGTACAACAAGCAGAACTTCCGTTGGAGGTAGGCCTACATGTCATTATAATGAAGGCGATTGTGTATTTATGTGCCCCCAAAAAGAACCAAAAAATCCATGTTTGGGTTTAATTGTCTTGAATTAAGGGTAAGGTTAGGTTTTAATTTCTTTGAGGGAAACTGGGGTGACATAAACGATAAAAACACAATGCGAAAACAAAGCTGGTGGTCACCACGATGCACCGTGAATGCACAGAACCGCATTGATTTGGATGGCGTCAACTGAAAATGCATAGGAAAATTTTATTTTCTTGCAAAAGATACCATTCAAAATGATAACAGATTCCTGGTTATAAAAAAACACCTTTTCTTTCTCTACGGCATTGGACTGTTGGGTACGTCACTTGTTTACCGAATGGTTTTTGGACTTTACTTTCCTTTTAGAAAAAATATCTTAAGTCAATGAAGAAAAATGTCTTCAATGACAAATAGATCTCATTTGAAAAACCCAGTAAAAAAGGTTTTTTTTTTTTAGTTCCATGATTCAAACCGAGTACCTCTGGCACTGAAAATAAATGTCTAACGTTAAGATGCCAAAGTACAACGGGTACTGCACAAAATCCCATAATAAAATGTTGTGCAGTCTCTTTCTCCATTGTTGAAGGATACTTTTATGGAGGTGTGAGGGTAGTCTTTCCCTTTGTATAAAATAGCAAAATAGCTTTTTATAGAATTTACTATTTGATTCTATATATATAGGCCTAAGGGATGAACGTCAGGAAAAGGGAGATGTTCTGTGACTGACTGTTCAACCCCGATCAACAACTTAGTTTCATGAGAATGTCCCAGCTTGCTGAACTGTTGGAATCATGAAATGATTTAGAAGCCGAAGGAACTGACCTTGGATCTTTATATCGGTAAGATGTTTTGATTGTTATTCAGAGTTCAAACAGAAATAAACTTTAATAGAATATTCAAAATGAAAACTTCTTGATATTGCTTTGGAAGCTGAAAAGGTTGGTTCTCAATAGCTACCAATGTTTACATATTTACAGTGGAAGGCAAAACGATCGGGCACGTGATCTTTTTAGTAATTTAACTCTAGATTGAACAAGTTGTTTTCTTTCTTCTAAAGCACATCCACAGTAATCATTGTTTTTGATCATCAGATACTAAACCTGTCTATATTTTACTATTTTTTTTTTTTTACAGAACTGATAAGTTGACATATCGGCTTAGAAGAGAATATCCACAGGTCTCTTTCCTTGATATATGCAACATCATCTACACCGCTACTCTATCTGCTGGATGTGTGGTTGAATCTCTGGGGACTTCAGAGGAGGATTCAAAACTGAAACTTTGGCTTAGAAAGCAAGACATACGCTCCATCCTGTTGTTATGCCGTTACTGCACAAGATTTGATGAGAACTTTGATGTCTTTGTACATAAAAGATATTTTTAACTCTAAAATCTCCTGGGTCAGATTGACCCAGAATCTGAATCCAAATTTGCTCAGTCCTTTTCTGGGTAAAAAAAATACACATTTCAGTCAAAATGACCTAGAAAAATGTCTTTTTTTTTACTCCAAAGGGGTCATTTATGACTCCAAAAGGGGTCAATTTTTGACCCGGAAAAGGGCTGAGCAGACTGAGTCTGACCCAGGAGTTTCTAGAGTGTAGGATGTGACAAGCTATAGTGCTGTACGTGCGTAGTTTTGACATTGGAAGTGCCAACGCAAGGCCTCAAACCGGAAAATGTGGGTTTTTAGCATAGGCCTACATACGTACATGTACATAACATTGGCAAACTTTGATGAAGTGTAAAAAAAAAACTGCAGCATATTTGCTGGAGAACTTTTGACATAGTGTTTGTGATGTACTAAACCCCACATATGTGCATTAAAAAAGTAGACCCAGTGTTGCTGGAACGAAACTCATTTTACAGCCGGTTTTTGAGTTTCAGCTGATGGCCTATGTGTGTGGACACAGTTGTGCACAATACTTTGGGTTTGCGTGCCCGCGACGTGTGCACGCTCTTCTGGCCACGAGGGGAATGAGATACATCCCAACGTTGGTGGCGCGGGCCGTCCCCCCCCCCCAAGAATTTGTTGAAGGGCACGGGGAACGCAGCTTTAATTGGTGTGATAACTTTGTGGAAATATCACCCAAATATATGTACAAAGATTGTGAAAATCTTATACATGTACATGTAAATTTCTTTAATAGCATTGATTTATTATCACCAATATGAAATGCTTAGTGAAATGGAAAAGCCAAATTCACCAATTCAGATATGTTACATGTAAAAGTTTGACCACATGAGTATTTAAAGAAATAAAGCCGATATCACATACTAAAGCTGCGAAGTTAGAAACCGCATACATAACCGACTCCCTGAAAGTCATGAAATGGAATAAATCCCTGCCGACCGCTCGCCAGCATGTTTGTTTTATTCAGTTATTTTGTTTTAAGTGTTTAAGAATGACAAAACAAACAGTCAGGGCCTTGTACCTACAATTGAGCATTGTCTGGAACCTCTCCAATCTACGTCAGAACTAGATCCATCAATAAAAAGAAAAGTAAACGTATTTTTTGGGTTGCGATATTTACATTTTTACGGTTTACGTTTTGAAAAGATGCTTCTTGGTACAATTTTTATGCCCATTTAAAGTTGGTGACAGGCCACAAAGGTGAAAATAGAGACATTGCCCGATACAAGGTTTAGGTTATGCAGTTCTAGAATTGTCACAAATCAAATCATCAAAACAACCTTTCGGGGGCGAAATTACGTTTTCCTACTTGCTTGTACAGTAAGTCCTTTATTGAAGACAAATGAACATATAAACAGAAAATCGGAAAACAGCCGTTGTTTATTTCTCATTTCTCCATTCAAGCTCTGTTCAGACGTGTCTGGTTACTCTGGTATTGACAGAACGTGCCACATAAATATAGTTACATTACATGCGCTCTGTTCAAGCTTTGGACTTCTTTGTTGCAAGGATATCTGTATTTCCCTTTCGCTACAAAAATTAAATCTAAGCTGGAAACTATCAGAATGTAGTGTTTGTGCTTGAGTTTGAGTGCTGACGTGATCTTTAACTGGCATTGAGCCGTATACAGTGGTTCTTACTTTCATTTTTTCATTTTATCATAAAGAACAAGTGCTTTAGCTTCTTTCGACTATAAAGGGTCGATGTGAAGCAACTGTAACATCCTTGAACAATCGGCCTTTAGTTTGCCTTATACATCCTTAAATAGTCGGCCTTTTATTTTAATATAAGCCTTCAGCTTAACAGAACTCAATCCAATCAATCTCCATCAAAAGAAGCTCACCTTCATTAGTAATTGCACATTTCGTAACATTTTTCTGAGCTTCGGATGAACGGTGACTGCTCTATGTTCCGACACCCCTATGTTCCTACAACCTAGATTGTGTTACTGCCGGTTAGGGTTAGGGTTAGGAATAGGAATATGTGCAGTCGGAACATAGGGGTGTCGGAACATAGAGGTGTAACCGGGATGAACCTCTTTGACTGTCTTTCTTTTGCGTTCTGTATTCCCTGATCACCATGTTATTAACAATGGTAGGCCTAACGAGACTCGACAATAAATATATGGAATTAATGGCCTTGGAGACTTAAATTGGTTTGAGCTCAACGAAGGTCCTTATTAAAAGAATTAAAGGTGACCTGTTTTTTGGGGGAGAAAATCCTCTATGTTCCGACACCCCTATGTTCGTACAACCTAGATTGTGTTACTCCCAGTTAGGGTTAGGGTTAGGGTTAGGGTTAGGAATAGGAATATGTGCAGTCGGAACATAGGGGTGTCGGAACATAGAGGTGTAACCGGGATGAACCTCTTTGACTGTCTTTCTTTTGCGTTCTGTATTCCCTGATCACCATGTTAATAACAATGGTAGGCCTAACGAGACTCGACAATAAATATATGGAATTAATGGCCTTGGAGACTTAAATTGGTTTGAGCTCAACGAAGGTCCTTATTAAAAGAATTAAAGGTGACCTGTTTTTTGGGGGAGAAAATCCGCAATGTGTGTTGAAATGGATCCTTACTGACAGTAACTGTATCGGAGAGGTTATCGTTATCATACGGAAGCTTGAATTGCCTCAGTCCGCGATACCGCGTTACCGTGATAATTTATCACAGAAATCTGGAATTCAAAGATAAATCCTTCCGCGATACTGCGTTACTACGATAATTTATCACAGAAATCCGGAATTCAAAGATAATTCCTTCCTTGATACCGCGTTACCGCGATAATCATCACAGAAATCCGGAATTCAAAAATACTTGCTTCCTCAGTACCGATTTGTCTTTGAATTCCGGATTTCTGCCATAAATTATCACGGTAACGCGGTATCGAGGAATAGGTATCTCTGATTTCCGGATTTCGGCGATAAATTATCACGGTAACGCGGTATCGAGGAAGGGATTATCTTTGAATTCCGGATTTCTGTGATAAATTATCACGGTAACGCGGTATCGAGGAAAAGGTATCTCTGAATTCCGGATTTCTGTGATAAGTTATCGCGGTAACGCGGTATCGAGGAAGGAATTATCTCTGAATTCAGGATTTATGTGATACATTATCGCGGTAACGCGGTATCGAGGAAGGAATTATCTCTGAATTCAGGATTTCTGTGATAAACTATCACAGTAACGCGGTATCGAGGAAGGCCAGGATTTATCTTTGAATTCCGGATTTCTGTGATAAAATATCACAGTAACGCGGTATCGAGGAAGGAATTATCTTTGAATTCCGGATTTCTGTGATAAATTATCACGGTAACGCGGTATCGCGGAAGGCAATTCAAACTTCCGTATTATCATGTCTACGGTTATCATGTCTACAAAGGGCTAACGTATGGCCGACGCACAAGCCTCTTGCGACTTATATATAACCTATATGGCACTCTTTGTTTATGAGTATTATTAACCACCATGCACCAATAAAATCAAAGTGTATTCGTGGTGCATCGTTGCCTTGGCTCGATGGGGAAATTCTAAAACTTATGCGACAGCGAGATCATGCAAATAAAGTGGCTAAACGTTCAGGCTCAACGAATGATTGGAACGCATACAAAAAGCTGCGAAACATGACCACTGATAAAATCCGCAGCAAGAAAGGCGAACACTTTCAATCAACCGTCGAGGAAAATAAAGGCAACTCTTGCGTTCTGTGGAAAAAACTAAAAGAGGTTCTGCCCAATAAACAGAAAAGTATTCCAAGGTCTATTTTTTTCCCAGAATGGGGAATTCGTTGACGATCTCACCGACATTGCTGATACTTTCAACGAACATTCCTCAACAATCGGAACACGTATTGCCAGTAATGCCCCTCCATGTGAACTCGAAGTGGACTACAATATCCACTCTTTTGATACAGATTCACTTGATGAAAAGTGCTTACTGCCTGAGATTACTGAAGACTATGTTCAAAAGCAAATATCATCAATGTTAGTCAGAAAAGCAACAGGTCCAGATGGAATAAGTGTGAAAAAGATTAAAATAGCGTCTCCGTACATAACTAAATCCTTAACGCACATCTTTAACCTCTCGATAAGATGCGAACAATACCCAAATGAGTGGAAACACGCCCTGGTTACGCCTATTCACAAGGGTGGAGACAAGTGTAATACAACTAACTATCGGTCTATCTCAATACTGTCGATTATCTCTAAGATTCTGGAAAGATGGATACACTCAGCAGTGTACTCTTACCTTGATGAAAGTGGTCTGATTCCTTGTTGTCAGTCAGGGTTTAGGCCCTCACACTCAACTGAAACTACCTTACATGATTTAACGAACAAATGTTTTCAGGCTATGGAGCGTGGGGAAATAACAGGCACTGTGTTTATAGATCCAAGTAAAGCATTTAACTCTGTTAATCATGCCACTCTCTTATAGATAAACTTGAAAGGGTTAATATGTCAACCTCTGCTATCAACTGGTTTAAGTCATATCTCAGTGAACGTAGTCGATCTGTGAACACTGAGGGCAACATATCTAAAGCCCTACCACTTAACACCGGCGTACCACAGGGATCAATTTTAGGTCCACGTTATTTATTATTTATACAAGTGACCTACCGCTTTGTATCCCTAGCGAGTGTAATTTGTTCATGTATGCCGACGACTCCACATTAACGTGTAGTTCTACCAGTGTTGATGCAGTAGAAACCAACTTGAATACAGCCCTAGCGAGAATTTACGACTGGTGTGTCAGAAACAAACTTACAATAAACACCAGCAAAACCAAATCCATGCTTATTGGAACTAAAATAAAAGTCTGCAGTACTGACCTTAATGTCAATATTGCTGGTAGTCCAGTTGTAAAGGTGAACTCTTGCAAGTGTCTAGGTGTCATTATTGATGACACTTTAAGTTGAATACGTGAAGAAACCAGTTTCCTCTAAATCTGCGACTATGTTCCCCAAAGCAGTCTGCACTCTCTTTTTGTTAGCTTAGTTTTGCCATCTTTAGATTATTGTAGTACTGTATGGGGAGGAAGGTACACATCACACGACAATATTCTTAATAAATGTTTGAAAAGAGCCGCGCGGATAATCCTGAAGTGTGCATTCTTAACGCCTTCAGCCGATATGTTTGCTAGTCTTAATTGGATGTCATTTGCTAAAAGAGTAGAGTATAAAAAGGCTATTCTTGTTTACAAATGTATAAACAAAATTACTCCTTTGTATATGACAAATATGTTTACACCACTTATTCAGATTCGTGAAACGAGACAATCCACTGATATGGCATTGAGGATTCCTTTTGCAAAAAACAACAACAATGTTATACCTCAAGCTTTGCTGTTATTGGTAGGCTACAATCATCTGGAATAATTTACATGTGCAGTTGAGAACCATGACTTCACTAGCCTCATTCAAATCTGAACTACGTAAAACCTTCAGTCAGTAATAATATTTCTGCAAATAATTATTTGTGTATTTGCCGCTGCCTTTCTCTGATTATACAAATCGAGATATGTGCTGATCTACGCAGTTAACAAACTTGGTTGCCATAATAATAAGAAGACAATAAGGAGCCGGATGAGAATTTCTCCGTGTTTTCTCCCAAAAGGGTTTTCGCGGGGTTTTCGCCCCTCCCGTAATCAGCGAATACAGTTACAGCAATATTTTTTTCTTTTCTTGATGTTACAAGATGGATCCAAATTTTTCGTGTTCACTGAATAAACTTTATAGTAAATCATGCATACTGTACATGTAGTTATAATAGTTTTAAAATATATTGTATTTATAATATTTGCTTAACACCTATGCATTATTCAAATAATGTTTTATCACACTGTATTGAATTGTATTGTATTTGTAATGTATTGTATAATTATACATGTTTGTAGTCATTATTTATTGTATGCAGGGCCCCAATGGAAACCAGTTTTAAATTGTTTGGGCATACCCTGGGTAAAGAAATGGAATAAATAAATATTAATCCTCAAAACGTTTTACTTTTAGTCATGATTATGGAGAAAGTCACTTTTAAGTCGCCGATCAATAGAAATAAATACATAAAGACCTCAGGTTCACCTGACTGAACGGGCTTCAATCCTAAGATAGCCGAAAAGTAATAAGACCAGTTTGGGGCTACATCCTATGAAATTCAATCTTTAACTACACAGCTACAACTAAGTAAACGATCTTTGAAAACGGAAACGGCAATCAATCAAAAATCCGCGGTATTAAACAATAATGCAGTGGTTATCTTGAATAACTCTTCAAATTTAGATACCGTAATGTTGACGCTGTGTTTGATGCTGTATCAAGTGTAAATCAAGTCTGTGTACAGCCGAGTGGTGAAAGTCAACGTGCAGATTGTGGAGGAGTGCAAACAACGCCGCAACATTATCGAAATCCAGTTGTACGGAATTGCTTTTCTTCTATTTTTCGATTTAAACGAGTCTGTCAATGTAGAAAAATGTTATACAAATGTATCAGGATGAAGTTCCGAAGAGCAAAACCCTTCAGGGATCTGGCGACTTAATGTAGGTTTTTTGCTTTATTTTTAACACACATAACATTCGATAGAAAGGTTATGGGTTCAATGATATGGGCCTAGATTGTATTATAAGTGCGGTATGATGCATGAATGTGGCATTCTAAATCGTTCTTTTTTTCGACACATTCGTCTCATGTGGAGATGAACAAAGCAAATTCGGTTGTTGCTTTTTGGTGCATTTTTTTTTTGGCAAGCTTTAACGTTACGAATTGAAATGCATTCAGTGTTTTTGGCTCTGTCTGAAACTTTTTTTTGGGGGGGGGGAGGGGTGAAAGGCAATTGGACATCCCCAGACGTTAGCGAGAAACAAACAAAACCCGCTGATTACAGTTTTGAATAAACGAAGAAGATTTAGTACAAAAGCTTTAAATGCACCGTTTTGATTTTGAGGTTAAGGGGCGCACTCAAGTTTGCATAAGATATACATTTGTATCATGAACAGTGTCCCCTTGTGTCATGTAGTTTCCAGTGTGATGCAAAAAATTAAACATGATAAATGAAAGTCGACATATAAACAACACGCCGCCCTCTTTTTTTATCGTGTTCACATATATGTAAATATTTTTTTAACATTTCTTAATTGTTAACTTTTGCTCTTTTATCTTCTTGTTTTAAATTGCGATATGGGTTTTCTTAAATCTCTAACTCTTTTCTCAATTAGCTTTAACTTAAACATGCTTCATTTCAGTAACATCTGTTTTCTTTTATTACAAAAAAGCGATCAATCGTTTTTGGCTGCTTTGTGGCCAAATCTTGTGGGAAACGTTTTTTTTTATATTGCAACAAAGGCATTTTGCTGAATTCTGACGAACAAATTAATTACATGAACCGGTTTCGATTTCCTTTGCTCACATTTCACAAATGCTTGCTTAATGGCGAATTCGTATGCACAAACTGACGCATTGTGAAGCAATGGCCCAACATGACATTTTAATTCGGATGAATTATTTTTGAGATTGAATCGTAAACAAGTGCAATCGCATGGTTTTAGAATTGAATTGAACGATCTATTTAGTTAATTGAATGTTGATCTAAACGTGCATCCAAATTTATATGAAAATGTGTGATTCGTCATCAAATTGGCTGTCAAATCTATAAAGCTGAGTGGGAAAACGTATATATCAAATTAAAAATCTTATTAGTTCAAATGACCAAACTATGAAAGTGATTGTCCATAAACGGAAAAAAAACAAAACGCATGGTAATACGTTATAAGCGCACCGACGTTCACTAATTTGAATGCGTCAACCATCAAAAGATGTGAAAGACTTCAAAGAATTCGAAAGGTGGCCGGAAAACCAATACAATAAGTTCCACATGAGATGAATGTGTCGAAATTAGGAAGAATATAAAAGAATACTGAATTTGTGAATATGAGGAAAGGAAATCTATTGAAGCAGCTTTTGAAATTGAATTGAATGATGAAGCCCAACCGGGAAAATTGATTATTACCTCGTAAGATAACTATAAATAACTCTCTCGTTTTTGGCAATATCAGACAAACCCATAGGGTAAAAGCTTAAGCGTTCGTTCCGAAGTCTATATTGTTTGCGCGAAAGAGACGGCATTCGAAGCTTCTTCAAGACGCACGAGTCGTCTGCAAAATACCTCGCGTAACCCCTTGCGGAATTGACGATACTTGAAGGCGTAGATGACCGGATTGACGCAGCAATTAGCGGCCACCATCGCTACAGAGAGCAGGTAGTACCACTCGTCAAAGCTGAGCTCCCAGCCCAGATTGAACAAGAGAAAGATGACCTGGTTTGGTGTCCAGCACACCAGGAAGGTGATGAAGACGATCAAGAGCATCTTGAAGGTATTACGTCTAGCTCGGAGTAGGGACTCCATCACACCTTCTGGTTGGGCGTTGTCCGACGATGCTCCGGCAGCTGGACCTACGTTGGCCGGTGCCGGTCCTACCCGGGCCGCTCCTCTCTTGAGCTCCACTATGATGCGAATGTACGCAAACAGCATCATTGCCACCGGCACTATGTACTGCGGAACGACCGTCAAACCCCCGATGACTTTGGACCGATTCTCGGCATTCGAGACGCACCTTCCGTCTTGCAATTTGAAGATGGTGAGGTTGTAGGATTTGAGGATTATCGCGGTGATCCAACACGCTGCAATGACCACGCCCACTTTCAGTCTTGGGCGCTTGGCGAAAGTTGCTTGGTACTTGAACGGGTGAACGATGGCGAAGTACCGCTCCATAGTCAACGACAACAGGTTGAACGTTGATATGATGAACAGAAGAAAAAGTACGAAGTTGGAGTACCAGACGTTGCACACCACCCATCCCAGAGCGTTGTTTGGCACGGGGTCGGGTAACGGGGCCTCGCTCTGTAGAAGAATCATTAATGAACCAAGAAGATCCACCACAGCTTGGTGGAAGATGAAGGCGTTGGTGCGAGTCTGCATCGATGAGACTCTACCGATGACAACGCAGACGAGACTGTTGCCCAAGATGCCGACAATACCTACGATGGTCTTGAAAATACGCAGCCACAGAATCTCCTCCATGTTTGTTTATTTGCTGTGCATTCATCGGTATCTTGCTCGAAATATCATAAACCTCCTGTTGCGTCTGAATGCCGAGACGAGATGCGGCCCAGCCTCTTGTATATAATAACTTACCTTGCAAATTATTCATATTCTTACCTCGTTCAATGTTGCCTGTGCAATGCTAGAAATCGTGTTGGACTTTGGAACGAATCACGGAATATCTCCGAAGGACACATCCATAGTTAACCATTATTAACACTTGATACTTCTTGCTTCCAGCATCGAAAGCCGACTGACTGATTAATCGAGGAAATACCTTCAGTTGAAGCACATGCCTGCAGTACCCAAAACCCATTGTAATTATCTCGACTGCCGTGCTGGTATACTTTCAAGAATCTTGAATTTGACATTGAAAATGTAGTAAGTCCTATCAACAGTTTAATGAAATACCATGTCACATAGACTTGAAATCAAGTCGGTCATTGGCTGGGTTTAGGGGCCGTCAATAAAGAACGTACGCGGGGGGGGGGGGGTGTAACATTGCGTTCACCATGCGTATACACGGTGAGGGGGGGGGGGGGTCCAAGCGAATGCGTACGTTCGTTGAACAATAATTTGCTTTTAAGAAATTGTGACATAAAATCACTGTACTTTCTCACATTTAATAACTACCAGGCCAGCTTTTATTCATCAGAAATCGTTATAACACATTGCCCTTCACTCCCACCATTCCGATCTATCTAATTTCCATGTACATGTACGCAGTACCACCGCCAGTGCTGCAACCAACGTTTTTAGAAGTTGTTAACTTTAAAGACCGCGCCATGATAAAATAACGATTTTGATACGAGTCCCTCGTTTGTTTTGGTCAAGCATGTGTAGGAATAGTCAGAGTAAAGAGTATGTTTATCATTCCAAACCACTTCTGCAACATATAGGCCAGCTAACATCTCTCTGAAATTCAACGACAATATTTTTTTTGAAATATAAACAGAATCTTTGGTCGAAAATGGCGACTTTCGTACACATTTTACAGATGTGATTTAACGCGGTTTTGCGCACTCACGGTGCATCGCGGTGATCGCTATCTATATATTTTCGTGTTGCATTTTGTCGTCTTCGTCATCGTTATAGCGACAATTTCCCATAAAAAAAATAAAAAAAATAAAAACCCTGCCCTCTATCTGCGACGCTCTTATTGGTTTGAAATTTGGCTAACTATAGTTTGGTAATGTAATTCAATAACCGAACTACACAATCACCAATAAGAAGACTGCTTCAATTAGCCGACTATAGCATAGCGGTTTCGTAATGCGTTATACATGTTCAGTGCATGTACGCGGATAAATGTACATGTTAACGCATATTGCACATTCGGAATACGTATGCGTACGGGGGAGGGGGAGAACCCACTGCGTACGCCATGCCTACGGCCGGAGGAGTGGGGTCTAATAATAAGTCGGCATTTTGTGCGTACGTACTTTATGGACGGCCCCTTGTTAGTTCGCTCACTGCGCACCTTGCGCGCCGACACGGCGTGGACAGATACAGCATACCGTCCCAGGGTATATACGTTTAGCGGGCGGTATGGCACTAAGTTGCGGGGACGCTTTGTGCATCCTCGGCCAAAATATGCGTGTAGGTCGATACCAATAACCAACTTGAATAATCTGTTCTAGGCTTTCTACACAACGTACGGGCCTTGCTACCAGATTTGGACTGAGCAGTCTGATTGGTTAAGGATCAGGAGACTAATGGAAATTCAAGTTGTGCCTAGTCGTTCACGTGTCAGAGTTGTAATGACTGGAGTCATGGACTCGACTCGAGTCACAATTTTTGGTGACTCGACTCGACTTGAGTCCCTCATCAGAAGACTGGACTCGACTCGAGTGAATGCTAATAAGACTCGGGCTCAGTTGGAAAAGTAATTGTTCGTGATTTTGGCATTATGTCATTTTTTTTTGTCAACCGACAGGCAATTGCAGTTTTTCCCGACAGAATTTACGGTATTTTCTCCTACACAACATAAACTGGTCGTGTAATTTGATGTTGTCAGAGTGTCTCGAACATTCTTGGGGCGGGGATGGACCTCATCCGACACTAGGCGGTGTGTTAACTGTAATACTTACGCATAGCCTCCATTTCAGGCGTTTTTCAACGTGTAATTTACACAAACTCGAAGTAATAGCATTGGTGTTTACGTCAGTGACAGAATGCAATTGACAGGAAGGAACAGAAAGGCTGGCGTGGATTTAGGCTGCTTAGGAAAATCGTTTCACATTTTGTGTGAGTCGCGAAAGGGCGGGGGGGTGGAAGAAGGTGGCTCGCCAGTACAACTATTGAAATACGAGGCTTTAAATATCAAGTCACTATGAATAACAGAGCTTAATGACGGAAAGATAGTGGGTGTACTTTATAACAAAAAAAACCGATGCATTTCCCGATAACAACAATGTACGTTTGGCATACACTGTCAGAAATCAGTCGGATTTGTTAACAAAATACGTTCCTTTGCGATGACTATCAACAAACCTTGTCAACTGGTTCCGCTTGTCCGACTCAATGCTTCATGTCTGTAGACCTGTCGTTTCCACGTAATTGGCCATGAGTCTAACGCAAGTAAATTATTTTACATGCGGGAAACCCCTGAAAATTGGGCATGAGTTTTTCAGAGTCCTGAGGGGAGCTTGGAGATAATTCGGTTTATGTTTATGACGCTAATTTTTGGACGTGATATTCAAAGGGAAAAAAAGACAGAGAAAAGCGTTACTAAGATGTGCTCTTATGGAGGGATAGATGATGGGGATACTCTGGGGCAGACACGGGGCGCCATCCGGCCGGCAAGGTCGCCCGTAATGTACCTTGAAATATCCACCGGGAAATATCGGCGGGTAGGTAACGACTCGCTCAAGCTATACCGCTCCCCGGGGATTAATCCAGGTATTGATTATGCCTCGCTCCGAATTAGAAGGCACGCGTGGCGTACTTGTAAGGCATTTAGCCAGCGTCGTCGTTGAGATACACTAGGGAGTTGCCTGGAAGGGGATGGAGGAATGACAATCATCTAGCAAAAATACAGGCTGGTTGAACGGTATAGACAAAACTTGATTAAGTTGATCGAGCGATAGATTATTGCAGCCTTCCCTTTTAACTGTCGAACAATGGCAAATTGGCAAAAATTGTCTTTAAGGATTTAGCATGATATATTTGATAATTTTGATAATAAACTCATTGCCCATTCAAAAGGTTCCCCAAACGTCAAACAGCCTAGCATGATGATGTGGCAACACGGCGCGAATGCCCCAGCCAAGGTCAACAACAATGAACGTTTGCACTCTTATGAAAAGAACAAGCAATAGCCATTGAACAAACTTCCTATAAGTAAATAATTACTCAGTCACATATATGCTTTAGAAAATGTTACTAAAGTAAGGATGTGTAAGTACAATCACCAAAATATACTTTAACAAAATATTAACAAATACAAAATATACCCAAATATGAAACAAATATATTACACGGCTGGAATTTACGATTTATGCAGATTAGGCACCCTTCACAAAAGACTTTCAGGTGTGACTCCTTCTAAATATCTCCTCTAGGGCTATAAGAATCTATCTGCCAAGTTTAGTGCTTTGGACCAGTCGGTCACGATCTTTGCAACAATTGGGTCCAAGCCACCTTACTAAATGCATGGATTTTCCAATCATTTTTTTATAAATCTAGTGCCAAAGAGACTATGCTGTGAATGTGACGAATTGTGGGTTTTAGTATTACCATCAGACTATTACGTGCGTCCAGAACACATCTCCCACAGGGAGCCTAATTTGCATACGTATCCACAATTTTGGATATGACAAGAAACACAATAAAGGGGGCCACTTTGCTACCGTCACGTTAGCAGTTTTTGTCAAATGTTGTGATTTTTTGTTGAATACCTGAAACCACCAAAGAAGAATTTCAACACATGAATGGACATGCAGCCTATTGCTAAAGATAATTTGAATGGATTATTTGTATTGCTTTTTGACATTATCCTCACATTTCCATCAAGTAGTTGACGGAAAGCTTGGATAACTCTTTCCGTCCATTTTGATGGAAATTTGAGGGTGAGTTTAAAAATTCGACAAGAAAATAATTCAACACATATTACATGTATTATGAGCCTACCTGTCCATTCACACTTCCAAAACTTTTTGGGTGGTTTCAGGTACTGTAAAAAAAATTACAACCATTTGAAAAAACTGCTAACGTGACGCAAGCAAAGTGGTCCCCTATATTGCGTTTATTGTCACATGCAATGAGGGTGAGAGAGCAGGTATAGTGCTTAACACCATAGGAACGACGTCGCAAAAAGCCACTTTTAATTGTCATCATTTTGGCCAGTTTGGAGGTGCTTGTTTGACAGTTCGTGTATGAAAGAAAATGAACAAATACAACGTTCGGAACAGCATTGCACACACAGAATATGATGCTCTAAAAAGCGTTATTATGGATGCTGAAGGTTGTATAGATTGGATGCATATTTTGACTTCAAGAACGTTTGGAGGAAGTATGCCCCCCAAAATGGATTTTTTAACAAAAACAATGGCAACAAATACATAGTGAACCGCTCTCTTGTTGTAGCCGTGGTGCAACCAAATGACGTCATATTATGGATTTCCAACACACACAAAATCAACATTCTTGCCAAATGTTAGGAAAAGCTACCGAAGCATAATGTGGAATATGGTCATGCCAAGATCCGAAACACCCCCGTCCTGACAGAGTGAATAATGACCTAGGTCTATATCATACAAATTACAATCATTCATGAAATTTCGCAAAAAAATTAACTCATTAGATCGTTTACTTACATTTCAACAAATACCAAAGATTGCAAAGTTGTACCTTTTAACTGACAAAAACAACACTAGTATTAATCATTCTAAAAAGTACAAATGATTAGAAACATTCCCGACCGTGACGTTTCAGCTTGCTTATAATAACATAGTGCAATTAACAAAGCATATAAATGAATACAAAAGCGAATTTGCATTTTAACAGCATCGCCAATCTCCACTTGTGACAAGTTTGCCGAAGCTAGGACAAAATTGATTAGAATCATACATTCCTGAATTACACTGCACTCGTAATGAGATTTGCCGATGGAAATTTGAAATTGAAATAAACAGTTGAGCCACAAGACATGGAAGAAATTTAGGCATAATTCCATCTACGGTAATCGATCAAACCCTTTCTACTGTTTGGTGTCATCATGTCTGTAACAGTTGAGTGAAGAAAGTGAACATGCACGCGGTGAAGGGGTGCAAAAGTCGCCGCGAGCCCGCGAGATTACACGAACTCTTGTGTTATAGTCATAGAAATACTTTTTTTTTCGATTAAACCGAGTCTGTGAAAGGTTTTAGGAATGTACTATTGTGGGCTTTGTTCCCACAGATGGGAAGCACTACTACGTGGTGCCATCTTTCAGTAAACTGTTCTGCACAGCATGAATTCTCTCGAAATATGAATGGTTGAAAAGTATTGACATATACGATTTATCGTGGTCCAATTATTAACATGCTAAAGATGCTTAAATGTTTGAGTTGTCTAGCGGTAGCCAGACGGTATGACGTCACAGGGTACATGGTCTATAAAAAACACTTTTTTTTATTCGATCATTCATTTGACTCCTGTCTTTCAATTCTGTTTGTTTCAAGCTGAAACGTAACGGGTTGAAATGTATTCAATCCTTTTCACTCTATTTAAATAGTTCAATATGATTAGTTATGTACTTTCAAAATTGAACTACTCTACTTTTCTTCATTAAAACAGAGTAATCTTACATTATAAATGTTTCCAATATACAGGTGGACTAAATCAAGCATGCATAAGCAATAATGGCGTGATGCAGTTTAAATCAGGCATGAACAATTAAATAGTTGTAGCCATGCATGCAATGAATGAATATACTAAATATAAACAAACAAAGGTGCTAAAATGAATGACAAAAAAGCGAATTTACTTTTTAAGACAAATTTGTCAAAACTAGGATCAATTAGACAACTATTTTGTGAATTACACTGTACTCGAATGAAATCTTTCGGAGCAGGTTTTGATATTGGATTGAATGACGGCGAAAAGATAGCGCTTTAAGACGTATTGTGTACTGACTTCAAGGGACGTAGACATCTATTGTTTTTTCTTTTCTTTTCAACCGTTTGGGATTACCCCTCGCCACTTAAAATAAAAGTCAGAAAATTACCCTCAAAATAGTTATTAACTGAGTTCTTTGACTAAATATGTGGAGTGATGTGGCCTCGTGGTTAAGGGCATTGGATTTGTGGTATGCGGGTAAAGCTGCATGTTGTGGTGCGTGTGCCCTTGGGCAAGGCACTTAGTCATGCATTGCTTCTCTCCACCCAGGAGTAAATGGGTACCTGTGAGGGCAGAGATGGTCATTGTGGTTGAATTAGCTTCTTTGCGCCTGACAGGCTGCATCGAGCTGTAAACTCCCCAGGGAGCTGAGATGGTATTTGGAATGTTTAATTGGCCCAATGATTAGGGGTAGTAATCGCTTTGATCTTAGTTAAAAGCACTATATGAGAACCCGTTATTATTATTATTATCATCATCATCAAATAAATACATTAAATCAGTCACGTTATTGTCTTTATAACAGGTACGACTTTTAAATAACTGAACGATAGCTTTCTTGCCTAAATTAAAATATTCCAACTTAAATAGCTGTCGTCAGATTGTCTTTACTCCAACAATACTCATCCCGACACATTTCAGCCTGTTCTCAACAGTTCATGCTTAAACTTCCGAGGCCAGCTATTTCCATATGAGAGTGCGTAATTCTGTTACAATTATAGTCAGTGTAAAAATGAAAATAAGACAACTTTTTAATGTTCCTAAGTGTTTATCTAACTCCAGGGATTAACCCACCCGCTCCCACCCCCCTCCCCGTGTGCGGAGTTTCCCGAACGACGCCAGTTTTCTTTTCCTGCATGTGGTCATACGGACCTGTAGGAATGTTGACAAGATAATAAAAACGTTTAGGCTACTGTTGGAACTTGACTTCTACTTTGTTTTGACATATCAATTTTAGAAATTACTCACTCAGTTTGTTGCAAGAAGCCAGAACTGAAAAGTTTTGGGAGCTACCCCACTCTCCCCCGAGTTCATTGAAAAGTTATCGCTTCCTCGAGGTGCACGAGTCGTCTGCAAAATAACTCGCGTAGCCCTTTGCGAAATTGACGGTATTTGAAGGCGTAGATGACTGGATTGACGCAGCAATTGCCAGCAACCATCCCTACAGATAGCAGCAAGTACCACGCGTCGAAGTTGACATTCCAGCCCAGATTGAACAAGAGATAGATGACCTGGTTTGGAGTCCAGCACACCAGGAAGGTGATGAAGACGATCAAGAGCATCTTGAAGGTATTACGTCTAGCTCGGAGTAGGGACTCCATCACACCTTCTGGTTGGGCGTTGCCATCAGCGGTGGACGTTCCAGCAGTTGGACCTACGTTGGCAGGTGCCGGTCCAACCCGGGCCGCTCCTCTCTTGAGCTCCACGCTGATGCGAATGTACGCAAACAGCATCACTGCCACCGGCACGATGTACTGCAGAACGGCCGTCAGGCCCCCGATGATTTTGGACCGATTCGCCACACTCGAGACGCACCTACCGCTTTGTTCGTTAAAGGTGGTAATGCCGTAAGAGTTAATTACGGCTCCAATGATCCAACACGCCGCAATGGCCACGCCAACTTTCAGTCTTGGGCGCTTGGCGAAGGCTGCTTGGTACTTAAACGGGTGAACGATGGCGAAGTACCGCTCCAGAGTCAACGACAACAGATTGTACGTTGATACGACAAACAGGAGGAAGGATGCAAAGTTGGAGAACCAGACGTGGCACACTACCCACCCGAGGGCGTTGTTTGGCACCGGGTCTGGTAGCGGGGCCTCGCTCTGCAGAAGAATCAATAGTGAACCAAGAAGATCCACCACAGCTTGGTGGAAGATGAAGGCGTTGGTACGAGTCTGCATCGATGAGACTTTACCGATGACAACACAGACAAGACTGTTGCCCAAGATGCCGACAATACCCACGATGGTCTTGAAGACACGCAGCCATAAAATCTCCTCCATGTTGGTTTATTTGCTGTGAACTTTATCAGACCCTTGCTAAAAAAAAATCATAAACCTCCCTTTGCGTCTGTATGCCGAGACGAGGTGCGGCCCAGCCTCTTTTATATAAGTCACCTCATTAATAATTCATATTCTTGCCCTTATTCAATTTGTAATTTGGTGTAATAATATTATGCTTTAATACGACTTTGGAATACATTACTGAAAAGCTCCGAAGGGCATATATGAAAGGACCACTTTCGAGGCAATTCGCCTTTGTCGTCTCTACAACACATTAACCTAGAAATGGTGACATTTGAAAAACTCGTTGAACACACGAATATTCACACGTAATTATAAAGTAACTGTCAGAAGTAGTGTCGATACAAATAGGTTTTCTGTGTGACAAGCTCGTACCAGGGATACAAAAGTTAGAAACAAATTAACATTTACTACCTACAGTCAGAGTCCTTTTTTTAATGTAATATGGTTGATTTCTTTTTTTTTCGCCTGAAAATCAGCTCCGCCAAATTAAATAAGTTCAGGACCTTAGTTGAGTCCTGAGCCAATTGACGTTTTCAGATTCACTGCTGGTCATCATAATTGTCGAGTCCCATAGATGCACCGCTTTTAATTACATTAAGTTGGTGCCATAGAATACATAGTAATAGTGTTGGAGGTCAGTCCCAAGCGAAGAAAATTAATGACAAATTTTCAATTTACACACGGAGGTGCAATTTTTTGCATGGGGCCTAATTTGATTGGTGTTTTTTTAACTGTCCGACTACAATATTGCAAATTGGTTCCTTTGGCGGTCGAAAAGAAGAAACGATTATACTTCACCTTTTCATGAGGTCCTTACCAACTTCAGATTGGCGTAATTTTGCCAAAAAAGAAAATTCCGTTATCAATTTCTCAACCGAGAAGATCTATATTTTAACAAGTTTTTTCGAAAAGCTGAGGAGAGAGTTCTTTTTTGTCTAGAACGCGTCAAAATGTTGCTTTTTATTTTTAAACAAAAACAGTGGGCTGCCAACCGCAGTCTCTGACATTTCAATTCGAAGAAGCTTTTATTTGCAGAAATTTGATAGAAGTGGATTAGGATCGGTGTTAAGTACAAAATATTGTCCAACAAACCTGCATTTTTTGCACGAAATAACCTTCGGTTTATCATGATTCAAAGTGCAGCACCGATAATGGACTATTTTGTCAACTGACATTGAGTCCTTATAGATAGGCTACGTACGTTTATCGTCATGGAATTTAGGACACAACACAAGCTGTAAAAACGGGAAAACCAATCAAAATAGAAAACATGAAGACTTTTTATTATAATCTAGGCCTACCAACATGTTCGTCTCGGGTTTGAGCCCTTCATATTTTATTATGACAAGTCGACTGTAACGAGCGCCCTCTACCCTTATCATGCAACAATGCATTTTAAGAAAAACGATTAGAAAGCGAGTACCCACCGCACACTATCCGAGGGCGTTTGTTACCTCTAACTTCCTTGATACATTTTATATGACTTGCAAGTGTGCTTCTAGGTCTGAGAATTTTGATGAGCGGGCAAGGGGTGTAGCCAAGTGAATTAGGAAATTATGAAATTTAAACTGACTTGTCAAGAAACGAATAAAAGAACTTTATACCGTGTAACCTTTCGATTAATGTTAGCTTTCTTGTCTGACCTATTTCTTGTCAATATGTTGTGCCAGTCTTTCTTTTCTGAAGATACGCCCGGCGTATCGTCAGACCCTCTAGTTTCTTACATTTTGAGCAGAAGTTGATGTCATTAAATGATTAGGTGTTGAGTACGGTTTCAGGGTTGTAGAGCGAAGTTTTTCAACAAAATTGTAAAAGGGAGTGAAAAGCTACTCAAAAAAGGTACGTAATACAGCACTTCATATCCGAAATGTTAAATGTATTTATTACAAAACTTGGCAAAAATAATGAAATGAGCTACATGAAATCCGTGTGTAATAATGTCTTACATTCTTTACAGGGCAATACTTTAGCACAGTTGACTTCGCTATCATCTCTCAATCACGTCGCTTATTGTGCATATGCCCCTAAATAACAGTGCCAATTCCAACACGAGACGAATTTGTCGATGCGGCATCTGTGATACCCTTGATGGTTGGCCGCACCGCTTTACAGCCTACGATCATACGCGAATAGTCAATATAATAGAGGGCTAATAGCTCGTTGTGCACATCTGTGGTTGAGCAAGTAGAGGGCGTTTCAAGCCAACGAATAGTCTGAGTATCACCTGTTATCCACGGAGCCAATCTCCTGTATAACGTCTGATATGTCTTGACATGCAGATATAATATGCAAGCCGCGCGCCAGCCAATCGGAGTCGATTTTACTAATCGTGACGTCCTTTTATTCCTAAATCAGGACTAAATGGTTCGATTGGTCAATTCGAATGCAGTATTTGTAATATATGAATTCCTCAAAGCCAATTTCGACACTTAAGAAGCTTCAACAAATGCTGTGCATCTGCCCATAGAGTTACGTGTGTGCCCTTATCTCATACAAGGTCTGTGAGGTGTTCGTTCATCCATGAAGAAGGGCAATGAGCTGATGGAATATCCCACTTTCAAAACAGGGGTGGGGGAGTAGGCTGCATAAGAGGAAGTGGTTGTTGAACATAAACAATTGGCGACACAAGTACTGATGTGGTGATTTCATTTATTACTAAAAAAACAATTGATCTACATGTATTCCTGTTTTATTTTATTTCACACACGTCAAACAAGGCGTATGGATAAAAGACAATTATAACATACAATATAAAACATCAAAATACACAATACATTTACAATGGCTATCAGGAACAACTAACATACGTACATGTACATTTGTGTACATTCATTTACATGATGTTTAACATAAAATAGTTCTAATTTGGTGGCAAAAGTAAGCTCTGGCAATGAGATAAATGTGGCTAAAGAAATGGCAGCTCTGACTTCCTCTGATTGGGCGGTCTATTTTCTCAAATCACCACAGCTTTTGCTGTTGGCCACGTCTTCTCCGCCACAGCTTTGATGGGCCCACCTCTGTCAAGGGCACAATAGTCTATCTTTTTCTTCGTCCTTAATTCCATCGGATTCTAATAAGGAAAGAAAGGAATTAAAAAACATTTACATTTTATTTTTTCCTTTTCTAAACATATAGAAAATGCATACGGGGTCTTCAGCTTTTTAGGCCATCACATGAACATAACAGTAAATTGCGTTCCTTTTTGAGTTGATACCTCCAACCAAGTTCAACTAGGCTGCCAAACATTACAGAAATATCTACATGAATAATATTTAGTAAATAATAAAACGTGTGCAATTAGTGCACACCATTGTTCACCCACGTACAAACACTGTCTAATCACACCTAAACAAAAGTGGACTTGGCCAGAAATCACAGCGTGCCTTGCTCAAGCCACGCACGGCGTGCCAAGAAAGCTGCTTCCATCGCATACGAAGCCAACTTTTACATCACAGTTACAATGTCTTCTGATAAAGTATCTTCATATTTTTTTAGATGCAAATAATCTTTATACTGTAAGCTTGAATATCATATAGTTTTTAGAGTCCCTGAGGAATTGTAAAGGGGAGAACTTACCGGAGAGAAACAGCAAGTTGGCAGCACAACGATGGGAGTAGGTCGATTATCATCTGTTGATCGTACACGTTCCAATGCAGTTTCAAACAACGCTTCTGATTAGCGCAAAAACTTTAGGCTGAAATGGACGGGCTTTAACATTGGCCAATCAACTTCATTTTTACATTAGCTTTGGACAAACTCATGCTGTTTATTTTATAGCTCGAACGAAAGAAATCGGTAGAGGGCGTCCAGAGTTGTGAGTTCATATGAGCCGCATTGTGTGACAGGATTCTTCGTGAACATCGTTTTTGCATTGTAAAATTGGAGATACCGACTGTTTGTACTTGAAAAATGACGGATCTTTAAAGTAATTAAAAAATAATCTAAAAATATCATTAAAAAGAGGAATAATGAACTTTCAATTTGCCGAAAGAACGAACTTGAAAGCATCGAGGGTTCAAAAGTTATGTTCTCAAAAAGGAAAAAATCGTGCGTTTTTTGAGGTTTTCTGGAGGATTTCCGCTTTGCACACAATGCAGCGGGAGCCTGTCGCTTAGGTTGCGCTAAGAAATTCATGAGTGACAACAACAGCCGGGCGCAATATCGTACAACGGGTGAATGACCGAACACCTGATATAAAAAGCGCTCCGCAATCTAGGAGGTCAAGTAGCGGGGTCTTGCCCAATTAATCAGCGAATATGTTCAAGCATAATATACCATTACATAGACTAGCCAACGAACGCCACTTGCAGAATAGCACTCTTAGCAGCTTTTTAAAAATGGCGTTGTTTCATAAATTTTATTTATTGAAGTTATCAACCTGATCTATTTGTAAACTATTCTGTCAGCTTGAATGATTTTTACTTAACTGAATGAAGCTAATGTAACTTGTAAAAGATAATGAATGGACAGCATTTGCACACACAAAAGTACGTTGGGCGATGGAGGTAGCTATACCTCCATGGTTGGGTAGTTTTCAGATTTTGTAATTTTGCTCATTTGCAACTATATAGAACCTACAGTACAAATAGGAAATCGTAATTTCGCCCCAAATGGTGATGTTGTTTTGATGATTTGATTTGTTTATTAAAGTTGTGACAATTCTAGAACTGCATAACCTAAAACTTGTATCAGGCAATTCTTTTCACCTATGTGACCTGTCACTCTTACTTTAAATGGTCTTAAAAATTGTACCAAGAACTTGAACATTTGTTTTCAAAACGTAAACCAAACAAATGTAAATATCAGAACCAAAATACGTTTACTTTTTTTTTATTCGAATGTTAATGTTTATAACATGATTAGCGTTTCCTATGGGTCTGTGCACATAGTAATTTACTTCCCCTTTGTGTTTATTCCTCCTTTTAGCCCCTTTGTGTTTATTCCTCCTTTTAGAACCACGGCACACTTAAGTTGGCGAACCTTCGCCAAGTCCAAACAGTGGGTTCTTATTAAAGCCCGGTTAATACTCGGCGCGAAAGCGAAAGCGAACGCGAATTTGTGACGTCGTGGCAAGTATTCGCGCTGCGAATTCGTAAAAGTTGAACATATTTTAACTCGGGCGAATTTCGCAGCGAATGCTTCGTGACGTCAAATTCGCTTCGCATTCGTATTCGCATGAAGTATGAACCGGGCTTAAGGTTCGGTACATCGATTCATACATCAGCGAACATGCCAAACAATGTGATATGTAATACTATGTATGTTTAAGCAGCCTATTCATGCGACCCATATATAAAGATGGGCAAGATGGCAGCAACGCAAAGGCAATCTCGGTTCTCCCAATAGTGGAGCGGCATAGCCCAATATTTCCAAGAATTGTGCACTTTTGTGTGATAAAAGCATGACATGTCGCATGTTGGTTCTTCAGTGCCTTAAAATTGTTTCAGATATGGAGACATTTCATATTTGACCTCTGGTGACCTTTGACAGGTCAATGACATTTGTAAACCTTATTTATAGCTATTTGTAAGATTTACTCTTTAAACCCCAAGTTTTGTACGATCCAAGTGTAAATGGTATAGGTGTTCATGCTATGAAGAACATTTTCCATATACAGGACATTTCATATTTATTCTCTGGTGACCTAATTCGAAATGCCATAACATAACCTTTATAAACCTTATAATTATATAAATAAGATTTACTCTTGTAAATGCCATTTTCTCATGACCCAAGTCTAAAAGTTAACTCTTTGTGCCATGAAAAGAATTTTCAGATGTGGCCGGACATAATATCTGACGTTTGATACCCTTGGAGAGGTCAGTCAACTTTGTATACCTTAATTGTCGCTATTTATCATCACTGTATCTTTGTAGCGCGTTGGTGCGGTCAGAAAGATCATATTTTAGCGTAATTTATGAGGGAGTTCTTCATCCAGTTCGAGTAACAGCAGTATATTGTCAGTTACAAGGAGTAGGCGACGACCTCGGACTCGTCGCAAAATATCGCCCGTTATTAGTGAACCTTTTGCGAAGAGATTGCGAAATTGCAAAGTTTGTGAGGCATTTGTGAATAACGTGCAAACATTTGCGCAGTGTTTGCGAAAATATGTCGGTTTCGCTAACATTCGCGAAGTGTTTGCGAAGCATAACTTTTGTGAATACGAAATTAGCGTTGGCCAGGTGTTTGCAACTTCGCTAACTTTGCGAAGCCTTCGTGAATTTGGCCCCAGGTTCTCCCAATATTGGCGCAGCATAGCCACAATATTTCCAAGAATTGTGCACACTTTTGTGTGAAAAAAACATGAAACATCGCATGTTGGTTCTTCGTACCTTGAATTATTTTGTTTTTCAGATATTTTGTATTTTTTTTATTGTATTTCTTTCTGGAAATAAACCAAGGATTCCAAGAGTGCCCTAGGCACTGTAGCTCGAAAGCCTAAGGAAACCTGCAGAGAGAAGACAATGAGAACAAATCACAATTTTAGAGGTGGGAGGAAAACCCAGAGGAATATTCTCAGGAAAATCAACGGAATCAGGTAGGGACTGAAAACCCAATCCACATATTTGCCCAGGCGGGATTCGAACCCGGGTCACAGCGGTGGAAGGCGAGGAAAGTACCGCTACGCCAACCTGACTCCTGTTGGCGCACGAAGCCCATAATTCCCTGGCCTATAAGCAAGCAACCCGACACTGGTAGAAATTGCACCGGATAAAAAGACACTTGGAGGTAGCTAGGAAACTGTTATAAGCCATTTCGCTCAGCAAGAGAAGAACAAGTTCATGTGTTGCAATAAAAGGGCTCGTGGTCATGCTTCAGCTTCTTGCGACGTTGACCACGGCGGTCGCGGTGAATCCAGCGGGGAAGCTTGCGATGTGTGCGAATGCAAGGGACCCGTAGTCATCTGCACGGGGAGAAGCTACCTCCATGGTTCGGCTGTTTCCCGATTGTGTGTATTTGCTCATTTGCAACTACATGTACGTGTATGTCTTCAATATAAGTACCGACCGTAAAAATAGGAAGTCGTAATTCCCCCAAGGATATGTTGTTTGATGATTTGATTTGTATATCATAGTTGTGACAATTCTAGAACTACACATCCTAATTTGTGACCCGTCACTAACTTCAAATGGACATAAAAATTGTACCAAGAAACTTTTGTTTTCAAAAGTAACGTAAACTGTTAAAATGCAAAAAGCAGAACCAAAAAAGTACGTTTCCTTTTTTATTGATGGTTGTAGTTCTGACATAGATCTGACAATACTCATTTGTAAGCACAAGGCACTCATTGCTTGTTTTGTCATTCTTAAACACTTTTAAAAAATAACTGAATAAAATTAAAATGCTGGAGAGCAGTCGGCAGGGGTTAACTGCATCGGATCATGCTCACATGCAGTGCATTACCAAGAATGGACTCTTTTGTCAAGCGGACAACATTAAGCTCTAGATAGCTAATTTGGACACAACATTGGCGCTATAAAGGAAGCACCAATCAAAATAGAAAACATGAAGACATTTTGTATGGACATGGCACCTTAGGCCAAAAAAAAAAATATTCGGTCTCTGGTCAGACCAAAGTTCCGGAATTGACGCGGCCACGCGGCTTTTTTTTTTTTTTTTTGCTTTTTTTCCCCTTTCTTTAAGCTTGGATTGTACAGACAAGGTGGGTACTATTTTGCTTTTTTTGGTGTCCTCATGTACATTGGTGTTCTCCATAATTTGCCTTGGTGCTTTCGATCATTTGCCTTAGTGCAATTTCCCAATCCTTGGTGCTCTTTGGTAAAAAAACATTGAGGAGGTGCGAAATAGAGGGCGCTGTTGGAGCTACCGCGGAACATTTTGGAAAAAAAAAGATCGACGCGCATGCTTAAAATCGACGCGCGCGCTGACCAGAGACCGACTTATTTTTTTTTTTGGCCTTACAGACAGTAATTTTGTGTTCAGATTTAGAGCTCATATTTGTTCTGACTCAATCGTTGGCTCTGCATCAGCGAATCGCTCGAACGTAGCAAAGTTGTACGGGAATGAGATTGAATGATGCTTCTCACGAAAATTCACAATTTAGATGTCAACGCAACAATCCAAATGCGATGGACATCCATACTAAAAATATAAAGAGTCATTATGGGTACATTGGGGGATTAGCTCAGATGGTAGAGCGCTCGCTTAGCATGTGAGAGGTACCGGGATCGATACCCGGATCTTTCAATTTTTTTGTGAGCTGTGTATGATTTCCCCCTTCAATTTCGCAACAGACTGTTTAGGTCAAAAAGAAAAGTCTCCGGTTTCTGGTCTGCGCGCGTGTAGCCGTAGCCAAACTCACTAGTTTGATTTGAATCCTGCTGCTGCACAGTTTTAATGTGTTTTTAGATGGGCTTACGATCACGTATAAACTTTATGTGGCCTCTCTGGGCTCCCATTGAGTATGCTCTAAATTAAGTCGGGCACTATGTTGTAATTGTGTGATTGTGCGTCTGGAAGGCAGACTGCGGGAGCAATGGCCGTGTATCTGGAACCCGTAAACGCTTTTTAATTAGAGCAATATGTATGGGAGCAGACTAATGACCATGCCTAGCAGCACGTGCACGATGTCAGTGTCTCTGCATGGTCTGATGTTACCGTTTTCTATGATTTTTTTCTTAACTATCCATATTTCCCAAAGAATGTTCGTGTCGGTCAAAATCGTAACCGGTGCAGAATTCTCAAGCCCTATGGCCTTACTGAGGTCACCTCAAGCTCCACTCTGAAGGGTATTTTTGAGGTGGATCGAAGCGTCATCTGTAACACCAGCCATCATTTGAAGAAAAAAAAGTTGGGGAAAAACCCGAGTCGCCGTACCACTTTTTGGGTAATTATACCAGAAACCGTAGACTTGTTTTGCCTTATTCCATTTTTCATGAGGCTTCCAGCGGTTTCTAATTCGCAGCTTTAGTATGTGATTTCTTTAAATAATCTTTTGGTTAAACTTTTACATGTAACAAATCTCATGTCGTTTATTGGTTTCCGTTTGCTCACCGAATTGGGCGTTTTTATTTCGCTAAGCATTTCATAATGGTGATAAAAAAAAATCAATGCTATTTAA